ATGCTTAAATACGATTGCTTAGCCACTACATTTTGTGGAAAATACTTTTCTAACTTGACTTTGTGCAATACTTATGTCTGATATATAATAGAAGATAAATAAGACCAAATAAGTTACTTTTTTACGTTCAGCATCTCATTTGATATCTTGGATCTCATTAGATATATGTATAAATGTATACTACAACCTTTTTTCAATCAAGTGTGTGTGTGTATATATATATATATTCCTTTTGTACGAGCTAGATGTTTTTATGGGATTCATTGTTCAATCATTATCCATAAGACATTTCAAGTAAACGAAACTTATTTTTGATCTAGACATTATTCATGTAGGATTGAAATGACGTACTTCATTGGTGCTACTGCGTTCCTATGATTAGGAAATAAATACTTTAACCCTTATTGTTTTTAGGTAGTGCCTACTATCAAACCAGCCAGGCTTGTTATAATAACTCGTCATTATGTGTATCAAAGCAAGACAATAGATATAGTCTGAGAAGTACATTAGGTAGCGCAAGGTCGGTCAAACTATGCAGCACACAAATATCAACATTCCAAGTCAAGACACAAAGCACTTGAATCTCATGACTGGAACCACAATGTGTGATATCGGCTTCTTTATCATAAATAACAAGAAAGCCATAAGGAATAATAAGTTGAGCTTAAATATAATCCGTTTAGTTTTATTAAGCTCCCCGCTTATCTTAGCTTCAAGTATTGCGTCTGTTTTTATACGACACGGAAGATATTTGGCCATCATCGCACGAAGAGCCTGGTAAGGAATGCAAATCAAATGTCATGGATGTGTTTTCGTCTCTATATTGCAAAGCAGTTTTAACTTTTTTTTAAAGTCGTGTGTATTTGTTCATGCATTCTACGATTTAGTCTTTAGTCCATTTAGTCAAGTGGTATGAAGATAATTTAATGGGATAAATTATCTATGGATTTTAATGTGGCGTAAAATGAGCCAGGGATTATCGGGCGGTCTTCTTCGGACTTGCACTAGACGTTCTAGACTGACATTTTCTGAAGAACTACTTGAAAGAGTTCAACCTGACCGCACGACTTTGATAAGAATTTAAACTGGTCCAGTGAGCCAAATTTGAGAATCCGTTTGCAAGGCTTCGAATATAGGATCCTTGAAGGCTTGCGATTGTATTACATATAACTGTGAAGATGATACCATTCTCAAGAATATCAACTGGTGATGGTCATCGGGTGCATTGAGTGATAATCGTGACAAATCCATATTGTTGGAGTCTCGGCGTTCATCCTCACATTATTATATGATACCGTACTTTTAGATTACCCAAAATTGTACTCCAAATCCATTTGATGTTCTCGGTCAAGTATCACTGCATTTACATAAACAAACAAATCCACACAAGAGACTACAGCCAGACAGGTGGGTATAACGGCATATAAACATGAAGGTTCTCCTTTGAGATAGTATCTCTAGCGGAAAGCTTACTTCATCATAAGGAATATCGATTTAAACATCATCTGGACCACACATGGTTTCCCTAGTTAACTTGACGACAGCCCAGCACCGTGGCTTGAGTTACTTTCTTCGTTTATCGTTCAAAGTTTACTAGTGTCAGTATTAGGTACTCAACCAAGCGTGATACTCGTAAGGTTTTTTATTAGAACACAACATATCATTCTAAGTCCTGCCAATAGGGTTTCCAAAACTGCATTTTATTGCAGGCATATCATTATCAGCAGTCGTCACATACCCGTGACAGCACATGCTGAGATTCACTTGATAGTCGCGGTTAGATCCATTACGAGACGGGGTCCGCGCGTCTTTCTGCTTGTGTAAGCATTTTACTCAGTCGTATTGCTTTTAGTTACATAGGCTTTGAGAAGGAGGGGATTTTAGATTCACTATGCTGCTTAAACTTTCGTTCGCCAGAGTTTTGCCTATGTATTGCTAAATTGGCTTCAGGCAAATAACCCATGAATAAAGACATCTGTTACGTCTTAGCGGAAAAGAATGAATCAATCAGTGATCGGAAAAATGAGCTGGATATTAGTTTATTTGTAGGATCCGTTCACTTACAATGAAGCTGTGCACGAACTCAAGAAACACCAAGAAAATTTTGGCTATACAGCATTTGAGTATCATCCCTTTTGACATGCACTGAAGTGAGCTGATGAAATTAGAATTGATTATCTTTGACCAAGCGATATCAAGCGATAAGAATTATTTATGGAGTGTCGTGAGTGCTGGATTGAACGGGTTTAATAGCTGGAGGCAAAGACTGAGACGGTAAAAGGATTTCATAGCTTATCAGACCTCTAATAATAACCGTTATCGTAACGTGAAGTAATTAGTCTTCAGCAGAACAACTTGGTGCTTGCTTCATACAGACAAATGGGATAAAGATGTAAGTCTGTTACTCGGCACAGGTTTTGGGCTGACATTAGAAATTCTTGTGCCCCAATTTCAGCGGGATCGCTTCCTTTCGGGAATATCATGGAATTCGATACGGAAGTTATCAATTAGGAAAAATTCGTGACTGTCCATCACCAATGAAGGATCAAAACTTAGAGTTTAGAAGAATCTCAACTTTCATATAAGGCAAATTTCGCACGTAGCAGTGGGTTGGAGACTGCAAAAACCAAAATGGACTACATTGACTAGGTACCTAACTAGTGAATTTCAAAACATTTTGGTGTCGAGCGCATCAGATTCGAGCCACTGCCTCGGGAGATCGAAAAAATTTTCTTCGCATTATCAGTATTAAATGATGTCTTTTCAAAACTATATTTTACTAAAAGAACTGAAATTCCTTTATGGAAGCTTGAGGGCTGTCAATGCGATTGCTTTTGATACGGAAGCTTGTCTTTTCAAATTGCTTATTTTCCCGCTTTGTGCGTCAACACACATTCTTTTAGTACATTGCGTCACCTTAACACATCAATGAATGCCAGAATATTTGCGGGAAACCTCGCCCTATTTCGTATCATTTGTTTAAAATGCAGTCATAAATTTCGATAAGGTTCCGTTCCATAATAAAACCACGCAATTACAACGATTATGAATTCTATGCGTTCATTTCTACTAGAATCATTACAGTTTATTTCCTTGTTAGCCGAAAAGATAAGCTCTCCCAAGGCCCTGCATTCCATTCGCGCTCCAGACCACGGACGTTGACTACTAAGTTCGGTGAACTAGTCACTCAAAGACATGATTGATGTTTAATGGCCAACGTCGTTACACGGTGATGATGTGAGACAGAAGTCTTTTTAATGCGCTAACCTTGAAAGGATCCTGCTGCGAAGCGATTTGTAACCCGCTTTGTGATCCTCGGATAGCTTTCCGACACATTGAGACCTTCCTTTTGCTAAAAGCCCGCGAAAACAAACAAAGGCAGTTAATCTCGTCTTATCTTAAACACAGACACGTAGTTCTCGGCCTCTGTGAACAATTATAGTAAGTCGTTAAGATAAGGCAAATGGTATGCAGTTTGGTGATAAAGATTTCGCGACACGCACTTGGCCTTTATTCTGCACGATCAAAAAGGCCAGTTATCGAAGTCCGTACCAGGGCCCACAACAAAAGTGCGTAAAATGCATCTCTTCGGCCCCTGTTGTCATCAGTAATTACAATAACGTAAACAAGCTCAATCACGAAGACACATTTATGATATTTTCTGTAATTATCATTCTAGAGCCGCGGACACAGTCAAGACAGAAGAGCACAGATCAAATAGAGTGTGTTGAAATCTAATACGCAAGCAAGCAAGAAGAAATTCCGGTGACGAAAAGGAAAAGATTACTTTTCCACATTCAAAAGGTTCCTTGAGTGAACGAAGACAGGGAATTACAGGAAGAACGTCGAGATACACAGCATCCTAAAATGTGGTATATTTGGATAACAAGCTTCCTACTTTTCGCAAGATTCGTGGATTCTGAGGTAAGCACGTTCAGTGGTATGAGTGCATTATGTCGCATTAAAAGTTGTCAAATTCATCGCAATTGGCAGCTATTAACCTTGCCTTAGCTGCTGCCGAGTTTCAAACTTGTAGTCGTTAGACAAAGACTTGTCGCTCTCTTGGACATCTTTTAGAATTTAAGAGCTTTTTTTCACTCTGAGCAGCTTTTCGTCTTCAATTTAACCGTTTATTGACCTGAATTCGTGATAAGCAGGTAACGTTATATTCATAAGCGTTTTTAAAGCCGAATGACAGCCAGTAGAAATCGCGTTACCCCTCTAGCAATAGTAGTTCTGCCTTGAGCCATGTCAAGCCAAGCGCTCTAATCTCCTGGTATATTCCCACATTTTGTTTCTAATTTGGTGACCACATTGGTCTTACATTGTACAATTCTCAAGAATTACATTTTGGTGAGGTGTTGCTGTCTAGGCATGGACTTGACTTGGGTAATGTTGACATTGACAATCAAGATGTAGTTCTCATTTCGTCTGTAAGATTCGACAATTTTGCGAAGGCGCGTGAAAGTCATTTTTGAAAGAACTGGCACGCGAGTGGCGTTCACACTTTCAAGAAGCTGCTTTCCGAAATGTTGGCCTCTTTTGGCTATCCTCGTCAAATTCATCGCTTATAAAGTAACAGACGTGCCCCCTTTTAATTGATATGCTACCACATAAAATTAGTCGTTGACAATATTTACCACTATTGTTGTTTTACTTAGTGTATGTAATCATCGCAGGCGACTGAGACTAAAATTCCTACACAGTTGACTTTATTTCTCGTAGCTTTTTTGCTTGCCTTTCTGCTTTCCTAGCGGGCTATTTTATTCGAACCGTTGGAGAATCAGCCTTAGGTGTATTTTTTCATCAATTTTTATTACAGATGATCTCTCAGTTTATTAATTCCTTTGTCCTTTATAAAACAAAGTGCTTTAAAGACTTTGTTCTTCATCAAATCGAGCAAGCTGCATAGTTTTCAATCGTAATGTGTAAGATGATAAACCAAGGCGGGACTAAATCTGTTATATCCTAAATTGATAAAGTGTTTACGATGTGCTAATGTACGAATGTTTACAAAACTGTACTTATTAATGTCTTGGTGTTAAGCCAAGAGAAACTTGATGGTCAAAAAAAGCTTTCGGAAACTTGTTATTTAGTCTTTTAACACAGAAAAATCTGCACTCTTTTATTGTCCAAGATTGACAAGAAACAGAACATCAGCAGAGCATTCCTGACATGTTTCTGTCACAAATGAAGACAAAAAACTGGTCTATTTGTAATAGGAATAAGGTGACTAGCACGTTAACACTCTATCATAGTTGAAGTTGTCATATAGTTGTCAGACAACCTTGGCATAAGTTTGTAGCGGTTGCTTTTCTATCGAAGAGGAATGAAAATACACGTGAAATAACACTGAATATTGTCCACTTTTACACATTTACTCCATTGATTCAATCGTCTTTATTGGTTATTGTGTTTTAAGACTCTAAAGGGGATTGAAACAGTTAACGTCGGATTAACAAGTAAATCAAAATTAAAATCTTGATATTATTTGAAAGTACCTTATACTTGCTAACATGCAGATAGTGTAGAAATAGTTACAAATGCTTTAGAAAATAAAAATAGGAAGGTTGTGGAAAAGCTAAGAGCATTGTTGATGTCTTTTGTCGTAAGCTAGGCTGAACACCAGTCTTGGAGAGGTTTTTACAGACTTAAAAAGTAAAATTTCAATTAAAGTTTACCGAGACTAATCTCCAAAAGAACGATGATCGTACGAGTAACGTGCGCGCGCGTAGAAACATCACAAACATAGCTCGCTCACTCGACCTTCGTCCATATGATATGATATTGTTTTTATGGATAAAGATATACATATGAAACTGAATCAACTATAAAGTGCAAACAACTTAGAGTGATTTCCCCCCGAGGGGGAGCATTGGTTATCTTTCTTCTGTAGATAACCTTTTCAACCTGATTTCAGTTTTCATAGCGCTATGTGGTATAAACATACCCTGGTCATGTCCGGAATTATTGTTTTCATTTATACGACAATTATTTTTGTTCTGCCAATGTTCGCGTGCTATGACCTAAAGGTAAAGCATCGGAACTCGACAGAAAAATATTATTAAATGATCACGAGAATAGTTATGCATAGTGAGTGCACGATGGCAACTATTATTGTGATGGTGACCATGCTATACTAAACTGAACTTAGAAATTCGGTAGATAACTCAATTTTAATTGTGGTTTAACAGTTCATTTCTAGTATCCCCAAACACCTTTATTTTTGATTCTTTTTTATAGTCTAATCTCTGTTCAAGATCTTTCTACTTTGTATATGACCAACACTGATTATCATTGATAACTTCATGTACTCTAATATATGGTAACATGCACTGCTACACGTAGGTCACTTGCCTATGGCCACTTTATGTTTTCTGTACTCTCTCGTGCAAGCTAAAAGCTAGACTCCTGGAAAAAAATCAATTTATAAGCTAATACAGCATTCATTAATGGTTACAGACACAGAACATTACATAGTCTATATAGTATTGACACTTATTGTATTGTTATTTGAGATTTTGCCCGCAGGCTGGTGAGGCTGCACAATGATAGGTCCCCTTCGAGGTGCATTGCACCAATTTTCACCGAATCCCCTTAAAATGTCCTCACCCGAACACAGAAACTGTTCATCTCGAGTGCTGTTTCATGACCAAGTTTTTTAATCCTTGTTTATTTATAGAACTATTGTCGCTTTAAATAGGAGCGCCTCTGGCCTCAGAGGAAATGAAATGATGTGCCTTAGTTAATTACAACGATGCAGTTGATAAGGACTTGCCATTTTGCTCCATGTCGTTCGCTCGTTCTTATCTACAGGAACTGGTGACGAGGAGCGACGGAATGGTATTTCAGAAACGCGGTCAAAGTTTTGTAGCGTTTGACTCAGTCATTTAAGAAATTTCCAGTTTGATAAGATTTGTTATCATTTATGCCAAAGTGGGAGATTTTTTGAAATATAACGAGTAAAAGTGAAAATAACGTCAGCGACCTTACTAGAAACATGTAGAAATCTTCAGTTTTCTCCTGGCAAAATCAATGGTATACTTATCAACGTATTTAAAGCTGTAAAAAAAAATTTCAAGTAATATCCGGTATCCTAAACGTACTTCCGGAATTCTTGTTGCCATTAAGGTTTTTAAAGCTCAATTAGTTAAATAACCATTGTTCTTGACTTATGACAAATATTATGTCAAAGTCGGTACCGCATTTGCCTACCAACTGAATCCACTTGGGTTATTGAGTACAGTATCTACGCCCACGGCATAATGCCCAAGGCATTAACATTTCATCAACTAAAACTCTGTCCATTGACTATTTAATCTTTGTCGTTTTTTTTTTTTTTTTTTGCTTAGTGTTCCATTGGCAGGAAATCAAACTTCAATATTCAATATACGGTGGCCTCTCTCTCCTTCACAACCCCGGGAGAGTCAAGGTATTCGAGGTGAAGGGAGGCTAGACAAGGGTGACTTATAAAGTTGTCGTTGTTTGCAGATAACTGAAAGTTATTGAGTTATCATTATATTTTGGGCTTCACTCAAATCACATGCAGCCTTTCTAAATTCACTATCATCGTGGTCGCCTTAGTAGACTTGACTCGTAGTTAGTATTTTTAGTAGGTAGTATTTTTTCCCCCTTTGTCAGATTCTACAGCACAGTACATCAAGTGCATTAGAAAACCCCTTTCTTCATAAATCCACTACTAAGGCCGTTGGAAGTACGTTCCAATACGTCGCAATCATCAAAGAATTACCCAGAACTCCGTTTTTCATCTTTTCTTCTGAATGGTACAGAACTTTTTTAATCCAGTTAACACTACGAAACTATGTAATTAGTTGTAAGTGTAAAATTCTTTTGATCATTTATCGCTTTTTGGGACTTTCTTACTAATATCCATAGGGAAAAACATGAAATAATAACGGCATATTCTAAGCTCTCAGTACATTTGTACATTGTACATTTCTAGACCTGAAATTAATAACAGACTGGACGTCATGAAGCATAAACCGTTCATTTGCTAACAGTGTCTTCACTTGGCACTTGAATTCGTAAGTGAATTGCTCGGATTTGATATCCGGCTTCGTCGACACATTGGAGAGGAACCACTTGTTTTTCTTCGCGTTGTTCCACTGGCAGTCTTCTGCAAACCTCCCTGGTTCAAGATTCCCTTTCCATTTCTACTTGTATTTCTACTTCGCTTTTCATAAGTAAGACTTTGTTCCCTGAGTAGTGGTTCTAATATAAAACACTTGTGTTTGTTTTAGAGTTTTGGAAAAGTCTGCATTGTGTCATCGGCGTTGATAATTAAAGAGCTCCTTAGGTTTGCTTTCGCAACAGAATTATTGCACGCAACAAATTCATGAAACGAATTCATGAACCGATCCTAGAGTCTCTAGCTTTAAAAAGGGGGTGTATTTTTGGGTAAACGTTTATATGGGAAAACGGGCTTGCTCGCTTGCCGAGCTCTCGGCTTGGCCTATTTTCGTTGTAAAAATACCTTTGCGTTTATATGGGGAAACGGGCTAGCTCGCTTGCTCGGTTGAAAGGTACCGATATCTCGGCAAGCGGGTTACAACAATTCTCATATAAACGAGCTAGCCCGGTTACCGGACTTATTATTTTCCTACTGCGCATGCGAATTCGTATGCAAACGAGGCTTGACGATCGCGTGACTGATTTCTTCCTGGTAAGCGGGCTGAAATATAAACGCAATCAAAAATTTATCTCGGCAGAGCGGGCCTTATAAACAGCCCCTTAGTTAAATGTAAAATTTCAGTGGTGTAACGCCCAAAACGTAGAACCTAGGTTTTGTATAAACGTTCATTGGTATTCAGTTTCAACTTGAACTTGCTTAGATGTCCACTGTTTCATAACCGGTCAACATGTTAACAGGCTTTAAATTGGATTTTGATGTCACTCGTCGTTTA